ATACAGGAGGCATCGCGCACGCGCGCGGGTGACCCGGCACCGCGCGGGTCACCAGCGCGCCCGCGCGCCTCGCATATTGTATTGTGTTTTCTATATTTGACGTTGGCATGGCCGCCTCTTGGGCCCAGAGAATGAATATTTACATTGGGTTTTGATCATTGAGTTTTCAACTTAACATGGCCTCCGATTGTATAAAACCAATACAGGAGGCATCGCGCGCGCGCGCGGGTGACCCGGCACCGCGCGGGTCACCAGCGCGCCCGCGCGCTTCGCATATTGTATTGGTTTGTATATTTTCCACATTTATATGGCCGCCTCTTGGGCCCAGAGAATGAATTTTTACATTGGGTTTCGACAATTGAGTTTTCACCTTAACATGGCCTCCGATGGAATACAACCAATACAGGATGCATCGCGCGCGCGGGTGACCCGGCCCCGCGCGGGTCACCAGCGCGCGCGCGCCTCGCATATTGTATTGGTTGTATATATTCCACGCTTATGTGGCCGCCTCTTGGGCCCAGATAGTGAATATTTACATTGGGTTTTGACCATTGAGTTTTGAACTTAACATGGCCTCCGATGGTATAAAACAATTACACGATGCATCGGGAACCCCGTGACCACGTGGAGCCGTCCTGGGGCGGTCTTGGAGCGTCTTGTACGCATGTTGGGAGCTATATTGAATCATCGAGGGCTATCTTGAGCGATCTTGGAGGTCACCTTGAGCTCTCTTGGGCCCTCTTGGCGCCATCTTAGGCCATCTTCGGTGACCCAACGACCCGCGAAACACCCCTTCCAGGCCCAGGGGGAGGGGGTAGGGGGAGGGGTAAACCCCTCCCCAAAGGGGAAGAAGGAAGTTGAGGACAGAGAGGGCTCTTTAAACCACTCACGCCCAAAGGGCTGGTGGGATTTTTATATTGTGTTTTGGCCATTGCGTGCGCTGCAGAGATGTGTGTGCATGGTGAAGGCCACGTTGGCTTTTCTCGGGCCGACGTCTCCATGTTGCGACGACGTCTCAGGCGAAACGGCCCCAAGCGGCCCTGCAAAGGCACCAAGGGTGAAGCAGAATGGCTTCCCCATCCTTCCCACAGTCTATCTTAGGAGTTCTCCGGAAACAAACGAACTGTCTATCTGTCGCGGCCTCGCCGGTCGCTGTCGCACCGTCGGCGAACGTGCTTGGTTACGTACTGTGCATCTGTCTGGCCACCCGCCGTCGCCGTCGCACCGAAAAATTGCGCGCCACACATGGTTGAACTTCACTGTCCACGGCGCGCCCATCGCACATCGCACAACTTTTTACAATAACTTCTCAATAGTTCCGTGCGGCGGACAGATCGTTTTTGCGCATCTGTCCCCGACGGACCCGTCGCCGCCGCATCGGGGTGATCATCGTTGGGGGAACCCCCTCATAACTTCTTGCAAATATTCAGAACGAATGTGCCCGGCGGTGGGGCGAGAGCTACATTTTGAAAACGGCTCGCCTTGAATCTGTGTTGCTTTTGCAAGTTTTAGAACGAGTGCGCGCGTCGCTAAGGCGAGAACCACGTTTTTGATACGGCCCGCCCTCAATCCGTCGAACTCTTGCAAGTGTTTAAAACGAACGTGCCTGGCGCTAAGGCGCGAGCCACATTTTGAAAACCACCCGCCCTCAATCCGTGAAACTTTTGCAAACGTTTGAAACGAATGTGCGAGGCGCTAAGGCGAGAGCCACATTTTGAAAACCACCCGCCCTCCATATGTGAAGCCGTTACCAATTTGTTCATCTTCAGGTTCGTAAATGGTGAGGAAGTCAGAGGCGAAACGCCTGGTCCGCCTTGAAACTGGCCTCGTTGTGCAACAGGGAGAAGTTATTTATACGGACAAGGAATGGAGGAGGAGGAGTGTCTATGTCAAAACAGCTACGCGCCACCACCTGAGCTTGCCGACGAAGAAGGCAAACTGGAAGGCGGACACCACGACCCAGCACTGTAGTTAATTGAATGGCGGGACCAGGAAGCGCGAGGAACGAAGCTGACACCTCGCACGAACACCTCACACCAGGATCAATTGAACTGAAATTTCATTCCTTCCCACCAGCCGCGCCAAAAAACATATACAAGTGTAGTGGCATTTGGACGAAAGACTCGCCGTTACAGACAAGGTACTGCCACAACCGACACGCGCTGCTCACCAGATGACGGTCGCCACCAGCCAATACACCCACGAGTAATGGATGGACTTACGGCGAATAGACAAATTGTGTAAAGAATTTGCGCAGACATGAAACAACACCTATCGGTTACCAGGCGAGTGGGGAAAATGTGACACTATGCACGAATCTCGGGAAAATCTGCACAAGGATTTGGCCAGCCTTGGCCCAAGCACGCCTCTCAGCTTGCCCACTGCGACACTGCAGCGGAGAGCGCTCCGACGGGCCGCTGTCACTAGACGCTGAGAGGCCAGTTGACTGAATACAACAAACAGCTTGCACGCTAGCCCACTACAGCATGATGCTCGACAACGTGCCGAGGGGACTGCGTGGAGCTCCAACCGAAAGCCTGCCCGCTGCCACCTCTCGCCCCCCTCGCACGTAGGAGGGAGGAGAGGGAGGAGGGAGGAGGGAGGAGAGGAGGAGGAGGGAGGAGGGAGGGAGGGAGGGAGGAGGGAGGAGGGAGGAGGGAGGAGGGAGGAGGAGGAGGAGGAGGAGGAGGAGGAGGAGGAGGAGGAGGAGGAGGAGGAGGAGGAGGAGGAGGAGGAGGAGGAGGAGGAGGAGAGGAGGAGGAGGAGGAGGAGGAGGAGGAGGAGGGGAGGAGGAGGAGGAGAGGAGGAGGAGGAGGAGGAGGAGGAGGAGAGAGGAGGAGGAGGAGGAGGAGGAGGAGGAGGAGGAGGAGGAGGAGGAGGAGGAGGAGGAGAGGAGGAGGAGGAGGAGGAGGAGGAGGAGAGGAGGAGGAGGAGGAGGAGGAGGAGGGAGGAGGAGGAGGAGGAGAGGAGGAGGAGGAGGAGGAGGAGGAGGAGGAGGAGGAGAGGAGGAGGAGGAGGAGGAGGAGGAGGAGGAGGAGGAGGAGGAACCCCGACAGTCCACCCTGCCCGGGAGCGTTCGGCTTCGGAGTAGGGGGGCACATCGCCCGGCGGGGGAGGTCGGCGGGCTCGGGCACGGGCCGCGCCCGCGGGGGCGGAGGCGCAGAGGAGGCACGGGGTGCCGCTTGGGGGGCAGGGCGAGGCAGCAGAGTTCAAGCAGTGGCGGAGCGTCCTGGCTCGCCTACAGCCTTACCAAACAATGTTCTAAGAACCTCGTGTGGCTTCCACGAGATGTTCTTAGAACGTTTCTGGTTGAGGTTGTCGTGTTTTAGCACATCGGGCTTACGTTCTAAGAACATTGTTTTTGTTGTGAGAAGATTTTTGGTCCTAACAAAATTTCGTGGTAGGACTACAGGAATGCCGGGACGGTCGGTCCCTGCTCAAAGAGTTGGGCACACGCTGACATGGATCAGGGATTTGTGGATCTTGCGAGTGGGGGCCAGATCCACGGATCAGGGAGGGTACTCTTCGAGACGTGAGTCCAGTGCCGGCCGATTGGGCGACGGAGCGCGCCGACGTTGCACGAAAGCGGAACCCGTCGCTGATCCACGCGTCTCTAGTTCGTGCTCGCGCTTGCTCGATAGAGAGACGAAGCAAGGTGGGGGGTGGGGGGCGAGGCGGGAGTCACGGGCACTGCCAGGGGGGATGGGCTCAATGGGAGCTCGAGGGCTTCCGAAGCCCACGGTGGTTTCCATCAGCTGCGCCTCGCCGAGGGCCTTCCAGGGGTGCCGGAATCGCCCCGCACGGCCGCCGGGGGCCCGAGCTCGGGCCCGGAAGCGAGGGAGCGGAAGGTCAGGGGCCACGTCGGGGGGGATGAGCTCAAGGGGGCAACGCACCGATCCCCAGCTGCTCACTGGTCCCGACTGGGGCCCGACAGGCCACACGCCGCCCGCCCAGGGACGTTCGGAGCCGCCATCGGGGGCATGGCGCCGATCTGCCGGCGACGTCTCGCCGATTCCAGCCCGAGTTCTTCTTCCCCTTTCGGAGCCCGTGCCCCCCCGGGCTGTTGCCCCCGTGTCTCCCCCGAGGGGGGGCAGGTGGCCGGAGGCACCACGGGGAGGCGAGTGGCCCGCGGGGAGGCACGCGAGGCAAGCTCGGGGGCGAGCCGTCGAGCGAAGGTGTCCGTGCAGAGCGGTGCACGGGTGGAGCGCCAGTGGCGCACTGCCGTTGCACATCAGCGCGCAAGATCGGGCTCGTGCGGCGTGCTAGGCTGAGTCGACTGGTGGTGCTGCATGACAGTGGCGCGCTCAGTACTGGCGTGGCGTATGGGCTCGTCCTCTGCCCCCTCCGCTCTTCAGCTCTTTGAAGCACATTGGGGGCCTCTGAAGGGGCTCCTTTCGGGCCGCTGCCATGCAACGGCTTCTTTGCATCCAGGGAGTGGGGGAGGAGGAGGAGGAGGAGGAGGAGGAGGAGGAGGAGGAGGAGGAGGAGGGAGGGAGGAGGAGGAGGAGAGGAGGAGGAGGAGGAGGAGGAGGAGGGAGGGGAGGGGAGGAGGAGGAGGAGGAGGAGGGAGGAGGAGGAGGAGGAGGAGGAGGAGGAGGAGGAGGAGGAGGAGGAGGAGGAGGAGGAGGAGGAGGGAGGAGCAGGAGGGAGGAGGAGGAGCAGGAGGAGGAGGAGGAGGAGGAGGAGGAGGACGACGACGACGACTTTGACTCCAGATCCACTGTACTTTAGTTGATTTGCCGACTTGAAGCATGTGTCTGACAGGTGTGAAAAAATATGGCGGAAATTTCCGCTTCGGAAAAGTAGGGCTGATAGTTCCGCTAAGGTATGGTGGAAACAGAAACGGCAAAGTAGTGCGAAAATCGGCATCAAATGAGCTTGAAAAATAGGGCGGTACTGTCCGCCCTACTTGCGAAATCGCCCAAAGTATGGCGGATCCAGAGACAGGGGAGGGGAGGGTGGATGAGGTCGGAAGCCCGGGACGGCGCCCGCAGGACGAGGGAGACGCCGACGGCCAGTGGGAGGGCGGAATCGTCGCCCAGTGCGACTTTCTGGGGGACAGCGACATCAAGAGGGGCGGAGGGCGGGGGTCATCCTCCTCATCTTTCCTCCTCTCCTCCTTATTCCTCGTCCTCCTCTCCTTGTTCTCGCCCTCCTCCTCCCCATGCCTCCTCCTCCCTCCTCCTCCCCTTCTCCTGCTCCTCCTCCGCCTCCTCCTGCTCCTCCCCCTCCTCCCTCAAGCAACTTGGGCTCAGACCAGTTTGGCGAGCCCGCCTTCTGTGCTTGCACGTGGTGTTTGAGGCACTTCACCTACGCTCTCCATTGAGGGCGGCAGGTGACGATCCAAGCATAATATTTCATGGCGACAGTTCTTCGCGTGTGGTCGCGCTGCGTCTGCAACCGATGTGAATACAATGATGTGCTGGTAACGCTCGTCCGCATGTGTCTTGAATGCAGAAGACAAGCTGAGCTCCACAAGCCACACCCAGGGTCGACCACTGCTGAGTTAAAGCGTGAAGCCGAGGCTGGTGGAGGCACTCGGAGGCAAGAAGGGCGGCAAGGGTAAGGACCTACAGGGCACCCAACAGAGCTTCACCACAGCGGTGGCACCCAAGGGCGTGCAGGAGTTGCTGAAGTTGGCTTTACAGGAAGCCGAGAAATTGGACTGAAAGAAGATTCTGGAGATGGAAGTGGACAAGCTCACCCTCACCCTCACCGTGCAGAGAGGTCTCCAGCGAGGCTCTCGCACGGGCTGTGGGGACATGGCGTGATGTTGGCCATAATCACACCCAACCAGCGAGCAATGTGGCACGATTCCTGCCATCTCTGGAGCAGGTCATCCAGCGCGAGCAGGCCGCAGTTCTGGTGCTTGCCCAGACCGAGAGGGCCAAACGGGCGGTGGCCGAGGCCATGGCTCGAGCGGGAGGGGTCGGACTGGCCGGCGAGAGGAAAGCGGCGGGCGCAGTGGAGAGTCCTGTCCCCAAAGCTCAGTGGAGAGAGAGAGAGAGAGAGAGAGAGAGAGAGAGAGAGCGCATCACGTCGGACAGTGTCCCCGTCTCGGCCCCTGAGCCGCGCGTGGCTCAGCGGACCCGCCTCGCAAAACGGGGGGGCGCCGCACGCTCAGCAGGGGCGGTGGGGATGACCTCCCCCATGGCGTGGAGAGAGCCCGTCCGCGCCACCGTGCGCTGGGAGGCGTCGGCTTTGAGCGTGGGTTGGCCAGCACGCCTCAGCGCCCTGCGAGTTCTCGCCCCGCTGGGGCCAGGAGCCCCTGCGACGGCATCGACGAGCTGGAGGGGGGAGGGGTCGGAGCGTGCAGCCCTCCAGAAGGCCAGGCCCGACGCGGAGAACCTGCAGCGCCTGCCGACGGGCACGGGAGCCGAGGTGTCCGCAGGCTCGCCGGGGCGCAGGCGGTGGAGGCGGCCGGCGACGAGCGCCCCCAGGAGAAGCGCAGGGTCGACGCCTCCCCCCAGGGCGCCCGCGGAGGCCGAGGCGGGACCAGGTGCTGGCAAGGCAGCGTCGAGGGGTCGAGGCGGAGGGCGCAGCGTCCACCGCCGCGGTGGGCCGGGCCGTGGACGAGAAGAGTGACGGGGGAGCCGAGGGCGGCAGCGGGCAGCACCTCGGCAGCCACGTCTGCAGCTCAGAAGAAGATCAGGGAGGAGCGGGTGGCCAACGCAGGCAAGTCCACGGGCGAGGGTTGAGGGCGCGGACAGTCACCCTCCTGGCAAACATGCGGCGCCGCCAGCAGCCTCGTGTCTAGGGGCCCCTCACGCCAGTGGCGAGCAGGTGCCAGACGGGAAGGGCACGGTCGAGACGAGCTCAGCAAAGCCACCAGAGGGTTGTGGCGAGGCTACCTTGTTAACGTTGTTGCTCCGCTAGGTTACGCGTGTTGGCGACAAGTCTTGGAAATGCACGTCAAGTGGGCAGCTTGAATTTATTGGGTTGGTGGAGACTCACGTTTCCGAGGCCGACATCAACGTTTGGGATGACCAGGCCCGTGGGGCGGTCGACCGCGCAGCCGGGACAAAGCCAACGAGGGCGCCGAGTGGACCAAAGGGCACCTCCAGGCTCAGAGCTTTGTCGCGGACGCCGCCCCCGAGCTTCTCCGCGCTACAGGCCGCCGCCGCATGGGCGGATTGAAAATTGCCATCCTGCACATGAGAGGCTACACTGTCGCTGTCGTGGTATTTTGCGGGTACCCGTCCGTCGGCTTCGGCGGCCCCAATGTCATCGGTTCCAGAAGCTGGAGGCTTTGCTGAACACCATCTGCATGCCGTGGATTGCTGTCGGAAATTTCAATTTTGCTGCCAGCCTCACGGCAAGATCAAGGTTGTTGAAACAGTCGCATGGCCAGCCCAAGGTGATCAAGGCAGACGTCGGGGTAACCTGAAATTTTGGGAAAAGGAGGGGCCACACATCGACTATCCGATCGCTTCTGAGACCGGATTGCCGGACATGGAATCAGCATCGCCAGTCGCCGCAGCGCCGTGGAAATTTCGCATCGGTATCCTTGTTACTTTCCGCCGATAGGGCAAACCATTGCAAGCGCGCTATCTTGATATGCCCCGTAAGTTGCCACAGACCGTGCGCCCTCGAACTGCACCCGCGCCAGGCTCCAAATCCAGCCTAGCAAAAGCAGACACTGAGGAGCGGAGCCGAACAAATGGCGCAGCGAGGAAGATACATTTCAATTCGCTTTTCAGTTACATGCTGAATCCACCTGAGTTAGATAATTCCCTGACCCCGACGAAGCTCGGAGCGAGGGAAGTTTTGAATTTCCCGGGGGGGCCGAAGAGGACCCTGAGGTGGGCGGTTGTCTTCCCGAGGGTGATCTCCGGGCCCAGGAGTCCGAGTTTAAACTTGTCGTGCCTGACAGCGTTGCCGTAGAAGGAGGGCCCCCTGCTATGTTTGGTGATTCCCCGAGTAGATTGGTGTCTGATGAGTCTGATGTTGCATGCGCTGCCCTCCCCGGGACCTTAAAAATTCTCGCCTGCAGGAATCGCGCCCCAGATCTCCTCCGTCTAAGTGCAGCCTTCTACCGGCCCCCGACGATTTACCCACCCGTGCCCCTCCTTGTCCTCCTCCTCCCCCGCCTCCTCCTCCTCCTCCTCCTCCTCCTCCTCCTCCTCCTCCTCCTCCTCCTCCCCCAGTGTCTGAAGTTGATGTCTAGATTCCCGATGAAACGTGGATGGGCTGTAAGGAGCAAGTGGGTTTCGCACCCAGCAACGAGTGCCTTACCCCCACTTCTTTCCTCCGATCCATAGCATATTGGCTCAATGCTCCCGCGGCGATTCAGGCTCTGTCATTCATGTACGCGTCCGGGGTTAGCGCTGCAGGGCTCACAATCCAGACGCACCAATGCATCCAGGCCCCTCGTGGCACCGCTCGTCGCGATGGCCCGAGGTTTCGCATTGATGCTGGTCACCACAAAGAGCGTCAACGGCAGACCCCTGGCCGTGACGTATTTGCAGGATGGCGGGCACGGCTTCGAGCGCGGTTTGCAGGTCTGGAGAGGCACTACAGCAGAGGCAGCGGGCATCGTCAGCGTAGTCGTTTGCTGGAATCCCTTGGCAAGCACGCGGGCGATCGCCTGGAGAAAGGGCACGGTATTCTTCGTACCCAGAGTCCGTCATGGAGGAGACGGCTACATGTGTTCCGCCAGTTTCGAAATTGAGGTTCGGCGGACACAGACAATTGCATACGTTTTCAGACCTTGCAGATTGGCTGCGCGAGCACAGAGGCGAGCGGTCGCGGCAGCACTGAGAGGTTTCGGTTCGTGGACGCAGGAGGGCGAGGCTCTGAGCAATTTACACCGCAGCATTCACCAGGAGCCAGGTCGACGGCAGCGTACTCTACCAGCCAGTGGAGTTCGTGTGTCGCAATTCTGAGAAGTGGAGGAAGAAATGGCCCCGTCTCCTCCTGACGCGGAGGCGACGCGGGATGTCGCCCCGTCAAGCACGGGAGCGAACTGAGTTGGAGCCATTCCCTGCCATCGCAGGGAGAGATATCTGGCTAGCAGCAAGGTGCATGAAGGCTCCGGCGGGACAAGGTGTGGATTTGATGTCCCCAGTAGATTTCGAGCGCTTGCCGACTACAGCTCTTGAAGATCTGTCTCTGTTGTGCACGGCCATCGAGTCGGAGGTGCCCTGGCCACGTCAGGCCATCGTGACCTCGGGGGGACTCTTCCCCAGGAAGACTGAAGGCGGCCGCATCACTGGATTGCTATTTGTGTTCGCCAGGATCTGGCCCCTCGTGGTGGAGCCAGATGCGGGGCGCTGGTCCGAGGAGCCCGCCCCGCGCCGGCACGCAGCGGCGCAGGGCGATGCTGCCCCGCAGGGGGCCTTCCGCGCGCGCGCTCGAGGCGGAGGGCGGGCACGAGCCTGGCATCACCTCGGGCACGGGGCTGCTCGACATCGATGGGTTCTGCGACGACGTGGCGTAGGACTTCCTGCCTTCGGAGGGGCTGGGCGCTGGGTTTTCCAGCGGCCGCTCGGTCTCCTAGGGTGCTGCAGCGTGCAGCTCCACGGACCCCGGGGCAGTGCAGCTCGTGGGTTTTACCCATCGAGCCCGCCACGTCGATTGTTCAACGGCACCGCTCAGGCACGAGATCTGGCAGAATCATCGTGCATCTTCAGTTGACGGGATTTGTACAGCTCACCCACGGATGGGCCGCCGTGTCGGCGTGGACGCTTTAGCGCAGCGTGCAGTGGGTCCTCCGTCCAGCATCCGCCAGCGACGCATCAGTGAGGTGATGGACACATGCCGAGGCCTACTATCTTATCAGATGGACAACAAATATCGGGGAGGTTTGTCCAAGGGGGGTTGTCAGGAGGGGTTATCCGGATCCCCGCTGGGTTGTCCAAGGGGTTGTCCAGAGTAGGTCGTCTTGTCGTCATTCGTCGGCATGGGTTGTCTGGGTTGTTTGGGGGGCTGTCCCGGAATTTTTTGCTGAATGGAATATTCTCCATTGAACAGATTTGGATAAGCAGGAGGAGGAGGAGGAGGAGAAGGAAGAGGAGGAAAGAGGAGGAGGAGGAAGAAGAGGAGGAGGAGGAGCAGGCGGACGAGGAGGAGGAGGAAGAGGAGGAGGAGAAGGAGAGAATTAGGACGCAGATTATGAGCATCCCCTGGAGGAGAGCGATGACGGGATGGTGGGGGGAGGTGCGTAACGAGGAGGAGGAGGCGGAGGAGGAGGAGGAGGACGAGGAGGAGGCGGAGGAGGAGGAGGAGTGGGCGGAGGAGGAGGCGGAGGAGACGGAGGAGGAGCAGGAGGAGGAGGAGGTGCAGAACGAGGGTACGGAGGAGGAGGCGGAGGAGGCGGAAGAGGCACGACGCGCAGGAGCCGGCGGTGGAGGAGGCCGAAGAGGCTGGAGGGTTGGACCTGTATGTTTGCATTCGGTTGGCGGGGCCGAGCTAGAGCGCAGCAGCGTCACCAGCCAGCAAGAATCCCTAGGATTCGGTCCGAGGCGTTGCCGATGCCGATTCGGCTCCATTGGGCCTTGTCCCACAGGGAGAGAGAGAGAGAGAGGAGCGGAGAGGTTGGAGCGGCTGGATGTGTGGACGAGGAGGTAGAGGAGGAGGAGGAGGAGGAGGAGGAGGAGGAGGAGGAGGAGGAGGAGGAGGAGGAGGAGGAGGAGGAGGAGGGTGGATGAGCAGGCAGGACGGGAGAGGAGGTGGAGGAGGTCTTGTGGGTGGGTAGGTGGGAAGTGTGTACGTGCATTGGGGCAGGAAGTCCGACGGTGGCCACCAGAACGACGATCCAACGGCCTTCCTCACGAAGGCTCTGCTTGTTTTTTGCGTTCTGCTCGAATGATGGCCTTGGCAATCGCATGCGTTGGTCAACCTTACACCGGTCAGCAGGGACTTGTCATGACCGCCGCAGCCCTCTCCCCCTCCCTCTCCCTCCCTGCCCCTGCCCCTTCCAGTGTTTGGATGCGCTGGAGCCTCTCCCTCTCTCTGGCAGGCTAGGATGCGCGTTCTGGTACGCAGCGGAACGCGATGTATTTCGATCACCAGATCTTCACTTCTTGGGCAGGGTCGTCTGGACCGGCCGCGCCGACGTTCGAGAGTGCTGATCTGTTGGTGTGCCCGTAGTTGGATGGCTGCGGCTGGTCCGCTTGCGCTTCATCGCCGCATGCTTTTCCGCCTGCCCGCTTCGCTTCTCTGTCGCCTCCCGCCCCCCTAGGGGAACGAGAAATGACATACACACAAAAACTCTGAGGTCCGCGCGGATTCCTCGAATCGGCGCTGGACCCCCCTCTCTGGCGCGCGGAGCGCGCCAGGGGCGGCGCCGGAGGAGCCGCCAGGGGAGTCCAGCGCCGATCCGAGAAATCCGCGCGGACCTCCGAGAGTTTATCTTTATGCCATTTTTCGCTCCCCTACCCCCGCTCCTCAGTCGCACCCTCGTCCGCCTCCTCTCCGCGCCCCCCTGGGGCCCCTGGGAGGCGTCCGCGCCCCTCCCCCCCCCCAAAAAAAGTAGCCCTTTTCGAGGGAAGGCGGCCCCGCACCCTCCGAAAGCCTGCGAAAAAATGATCCTGGCGAAGGTCCCAACCATATGCAGATGTGGGTACCGTAATTATGAATATCTGCTTCGGTGAAGCTCCCTATGGGGCCACGAAGCGCTGGACTGGGCGGGGGGGAACGCTGTACACCTTAGGCGATGCTTAAGAAAACCCAAGGTTTCGGCCAGAGTCTCGATTATTCTTAATGTTTCAATGTAGATCCTAAGATTTGAATAGACATTCTGGATGTTTATTCAAATTCTGAGACTATGAATTTCTTAACCCATGATTTCTAAAGCATTTCGCAGGGTGTACTGTGTGGGTGGTGTGCCGACTTGGGCTTCTGGGACGCATGCGGACGGTCCCACTGAGGGCTTCGGTGGAGCTCCCTATGGGGCCACGAAGCGTTCTACTGAGTGAATGGAAGTGGCCAAATTGGGTTACCGGGACGCATGCGGACGGTAGCACTGGGGGCTTCGGTGGAGCCCCCTTTATGGGGCCACGAAACGCTGCATTGCGCGGGTAAAAATACCAAATTACACTTCCCGGACGCATGCGGACGGTGGCATTGGGGCCTTGGGTGGAGCCCCCTATGGGGCCACGAAACGCTGCACTCGGTGGGCGAAAATGCCAAATTGGGCTTCCGGGAAGCATGCGGACGGGGGCACTGGGGCCTTCGGTGGAGCTCCCTATGGGGCCACGAAGCGCTGTATTGGGTGGGTGAAACGCAGGGGGGAGGGGGAGGAGGGCCACGAAACGCTGCACTGGGTGTGCGGGACGCATGCAGACGGTAGGGCTGGGACCTTCGGTGGAGCTCCCTATGGGGCCACGAAGCGCTGCTCTGGGTGTGCGGGACGCATGCGGACGGTAGCACTGGGACCTTCGGTGGGGCTCCCTATGGGGCCACGAAGCGCTGTATTGGGTGGGTGAAACGCAGGGGGGAGGGGGAGGAGGGCCACGAAACGCTGCACTGGGTGTGCGGGACGCATGCAGACGGTAGCA